TTGTTCTTATTTAAAATTTCATTTATATACATATATATTCATATCGATATATAGTCATATCGGTCGCTTCATATTAAGCCTTTTAAATTACGATAACATTTTTCGATGAAAGGAGTTAAAGCGAAGTGGGCGAGTTTGCGGATGATTTTAGCAACATTCTCGCGTTCTCTCGCGAGGATAAATATCTTTGCGGGGACATTTTTAGAGCGACTGGTTTGTTTATTTCTGCTTTTGTGCAACGCGGTGGCGTTCTCGTACGAGTGTAACGACTCGTTCTTTCCTGAAGGCGAGCACGAAGCGCAGCGGGATCGGCGTCGCATAGGCCGGTGGTCGGCATAGCCGTCTCAACCGCTAATTGTTGCACAATGCTCTCTCGCGAGTTCACAGGTGCATTGCACCAGAAATCCTCTCTCCGTACTCGCTGCTTGCCTCTCCCGTACTCGTGCCGTTCAATGGCGTAGAGAGTGCTATCCTAGAAAAGGAAATATCAAATCATTGGGCGCTTTCTATTTAACGAGACAAGTCGACACAAGATATCGTTCTGTTTCTGCTTACTTCACTGAAAATGCCAAGTAAGGTAGGATGACGCTTGTGTTAATTTGTGTCACCAAACGGAGAACAGAAAAGCTGAAAAATGAAGCTGAAGGGAGAGTAACCCGATATTATTTAGGACATTCAGATGACTCTGACCATTTCGATCATGCCGAGGGAAAACTTTTAACAGAGTTTTCTAAAGCTTTACTACTGTCACGAATATTGTATTTTTTCGGAAGTGGGATATACTTGTCTGGGACTCTGTACAGTCAGAAACATTCTCAAAATAATAATGAGTAAGACCCGGTTGAAATGATAACGGCGAACATTTAAAGCGGCGAGATAGAATGTTTTGTATCAATGACGGTGAATAGCAGATTGTTTGAAACCGGCTTTAATCGTGCGACAGTTTATCGTGGAATATCCTCCTCTCTAGGTTTCCGGTTCATTGTTACGATACCGTTTCTACTGACGCGAATGTAATTTCGCAATTCTCGACCTCTTCCTTCCTCTTCGCGAGCGCGCGCGTAATTCGCGGATACGCTTTTCTGCATATTACATTTGCTCTGTACTGCGCTTATTTCCTCCAACGCCAATTGCTCTCTCCTCTCTCTCTCTCTCTCTCT